TTTTATTTTTATTTTTACTTTATTACCACAAGCAACACTTTGGTCTTGACCAAGATCAAAACACATTTGCATTTTAGATTTCGTTCTTCTAGCAGTTGTTCCAGATGTAATCTTAAAGATATGCTCTTCATATGCCTGAATCTATCTTGTTCACAAGAAGTTAGATCTTATTTTAAGAATAAATGAAGAATGCCAATTTTTTTCCAGATCAAATTCTTCTAGCAGCAGTTCCAGATATAATTTCAGAGATGCAACAGGAGGTGCAAAGACAGAACCTGAATCATTTGCTGAGGACCCTCAGTTGGCTTCTTAAGGAAAAGTTTAACAGTAGCAGTCAGCAACTGTAATTGGACTTGTGCAGGCTCTTCTGGGAAACTTTCCAAAAAACTTTCAAGAAGCTCGTCAGCATTGTCAATTCTTTCTGCATATTCTCCAATTATCCAAATCATTGATGCCTGTAAACACAAGGGGATAAGAAGATAAGCATGCATGATAATGAACCGTAAAAATGACAGATTGCGGGGGAAGTACTACCTTGGCCTCTGGCTCATCCAAGGTATCCAAGCTCTCACAAAGTGTTGCAATAATGGACTCATATCTGAAAGGAAGATTGAATCACAAAAGTAATCAGTAATCACTAACTGTGCAATCTTCTGCTCTAGATAAATGCAGAAAAAATGAAGATGACATTACGTATTAGGGTATCTTCTAAAGATATCTTTGATAACAATGATCGCCTCTTGAACCACATAATTTACTTTTATCTTGATCAACTCAAGCAAAACACTAATGCATCGTTCAGCAGCTCTCTCTAATTTGATGGCACAACGACCAATTGCTCGAACAGCCTTTCTAACAAAATCCACATCAACTTCTGTAGCATATTCCTTGAACTCCAATAAGACCTGCAGGCATTCCAAGGAAAAGGGAAAATATATCAAACTAATCCTATGGTTGATATATTAGCTGGTGTGAAGCTGCAAACTCCAAAGGCTTCACATGGAAAAAATGTTCTATTGAATTGAATGGCTTATCCACATGGTGACAGAGCAAATCTGCACCAAATGAATGAAGTTATATTCAGGTCTAATTCATGTGACAGGATAAATGATAACCACACCTACAGTCAATCACATTTTGCAAAGCTTCACTGAGGAAATCAAGATTTATCAAAACCAGAAGAAGGATGAAAGAAAAAATATGAACTGACAACACCACGTATAAGTTTACCTGATCTATATTTCGGTCAGAAGCAAGTTTAATCATGATCTCTAACTTCTCCATTTTCACATAGATTGGGTCATTGTACTTGCAGAAAAACACCTGCACATCGAATAAAATCTCCATAAGAGTGTAAGGTAAAGGGTATGAAGAAGTGGTAAGTTTAAAATACTACGTTTTAAATCACCTTTATTTCATGAGCAAGAATTGTTGGTCTTCTTTGTACAATGAGATTGATATTTCGCAAGGCAACATATTGTATCTCAGGTTCTGCAGACAGTAGAGTCACAAGAGGAGGAGCCATCTTTTTGCAAAGATTCCGAACCACATCAGTACTGGAGATAAGCTCCATTTGTTGAAGGATCATCTGCAATGTACATAGTTTTGCTTAGCAAACCATATGAAAAATAAACTCTAAGATATCAGCATTAACACATAGCAACAAAATAACAATTTACAGAAAATATCACCTTAACAGCTGATAGTACAACTGCACAATTGGCATGCTGCAACCGTGGGGTAACCCGTTCTACTATGTTCTCAGCCTCACGAGCATCAGCTGCCTTGTATCGGGAAAGAGCATCCAATATGAAAACTTGACCCCACCTGGCACGTTAAGTAAAAGCAAGCAGTGTCAGATAGTCGAACCACTATTTGGTCATTGTTGTTGTCATTATCATTACACATCATCAATAAGGACAGGAAGAAATCTTCCTTTATAGAAATGAAAAGAAAACAGCAGGCTCAAGTGACCCAAAAAGACAACAAAGTTGTCCAAGAGGGTTATTCCATAAGAAAGTAGCAACCTGACAAAGCAAATCTGAACATGTAACTCCATAAGAAGGATATCTATAATGTAGCGCCCTATGGAAAATGTACAAATACATAATTAAAGCCGCATAATGGTTAGGAATCAAATGTGCTGTTCCCCTATGGAGCCAAAATGCTGAGAAATTGCATTAAAACAAAAGGCAAAAGTTGTTCTATTTGAAAATTAGATTAAAAAAACCTGTAAGATCAGAACTTACTCAGTACATTCATTTAAAGCAGTGAGGAGCTTGGAAAGTGTGTGGCTGGTGATCTCAAAGATGGGTCTACTGCTGTTTTCCTGGATTTCAGCTAGTGCTGCAACAGCATTGGCTACAACCATTGGATTATTATCAGATATCAAATCCTTCAAGGATTCCAAGAAACCTCGATCCTCAACTAACTCTGCATTTATGTCATAAAGTTTGGCAACACAAATAGCTGCTGTCTTACGGACATATGGATCATCATCCTGTTGAATTATAATATCGAAGTATAGGGTCAATAAGGGAAGCTAAAAATAGCATCGCATTGTTATCAACATTATAAAAAACATAATAACGGAAACATGAAAAAGTATACAGTGCTTTGCAATTACTTTTAGGCATCTCTGAAGAGGATCACACAGATACTCAGTAATTTTATCAACACGTATGCATCCCATTGTCCGCACAGCCAAAGCACGAATTAGAGGATTTGGATCTTGTGAATCCTGTGAAGCATTGGTTAATAAAATTAAAAAAGATATTAGTTCACAGCTACAGATTAATTTCTAACGGGGGGAATGGGTGCAGAAAATTCAATTCAGAAGCTATAACTTGAGATTTTAGATTAAAATTCAGAGCCTATAAAGCAGGCTAAAGTAGATTCAAAACACCCCAAAGCAAAGGAGTCACTATTTCAAAAATCAAAAGGGCATCCTCTAATAGGATCCCCACCCCCCTTCCTTTTCCTTTTCTCCAGGAATGGCAGCAGTGCCTCGAAGCCAGAGGCACTGAAGTAGGGGAAATGTTCCTTCCATGAGTAAAAATTAACAGAGAAAAAAATCAGGGAAAAAAGATGTAGTTAAGGACGACTAAAAATTTCCATTGCATAACCCCCAAAACAAAGATTGAAAAAAGAACGAACGAAATAGAGATTTTGCTCAAGTAGCAAAGAAGAGGTCCTGACTAGAGGAAACTTGACTGAGTCATCCATAGGCAATGACCCCTTTTGGTATATTACCTTGGAGCCTTCGACTCATCTTGATGTTATAATGAATAGTGTACACTACGTGGAAGCACGAAATTCTTGGGGAAACAGGATACATTGCAGTATAATTGCAAAATCAATATATGGATGCTTATCTTTTAAACTCATGAACCAAAGTCGCATGCAAAGGTCACAAAGGAATGGGGTGATTGATAGCTAAGCAAAACACCGAAACCAACAGTTAACAATCATGAGGAACTAAATAGGCAACATTGGTCATTCCAGGTTTTACCTTCACAAATGTATTCACTGCAAGTATTGCTAGGTCAGGCTGACTTTTTGCATAATTTATCAGATACAAGTAGACCAGCTTTTTTAACTCCAAATTTTCTGTTTGCATGCAATTCACCACATCTGTGAACAATGATGAAACATCCTTCCCAACAGTCATAGCAGCAATCACTTTTTTTACAGCATCTTTCCTTTTATCCTGAAAACATGTAAGAATTGTTAAGGCTCACATGCTTTCCAATGTACAATGTCAGCTAGCAGTAAGTGGAGCCAGCATAACACATTAAAAAGGCAACAAAGAGAAGACCAATGAAACATAAGCAAATCTCCCAGTTCTAAAAGTTAACTTCCCTTGAGCAAAGGGCTAGTCGTATAAATTCTCCCAAAAACACAGGCAAATGTAGCAATGCATTCCATTGGCGAGAAAGAAAGCATTACAACGATGGGGGCAGTTGAAGCACTAAATTTTGGCATCCGTAAAACATATATTAAGACTTATATCTCAATCAAATTCATCTAAATCTGGATCTTAATAACATAATTATTTACAATCGACCATGGCCACGATATTTACAACACAGAAGTGAGCTTGTCTAACTTGAACGTGCAATTTACTTCAAATCCAGCTCATTCTCAACCGAAAAACAAAACACTCAGTAAAACGCCGAAAGAAACCCAAATAGCATCGTTGAGAGATCAAAGAAGAATAACCAGATTATTCACGAAACCCCAAGCATTACAATAATAAGAAGTATTTCAACGTGGATCCAGAAATGACAGGACTCGGTATAACAGAACAACAACCCATAACTGAAAATCCCAAGGGATCTGCAACTCGCGAACATAGAATTGACTGTGGACACAGCGGATCGGAAAAATCATAGAAATGAGAAAATGCAGAGGGGAACCTTGTACTGGGAATTGAGCTCCTCTTTGAGCTCAGGAATTTCACCCTTCTTGGTGGTGGAGAAGTACTTGGAATCGTTCCGACTCATCTCGCTGAATTTCGTTCGTATCAAGTCACCCTCCTCCTCGTCTTCTTCCTTCTCCTGCGAGATCAGTAACGAGAACGGGAAATGTGAAAGATGCTGGTTTCAAGAATCGATTTTAGCGACGACCACGGGAGGCAGTCGTCAAACGCTGCCGTTTCGTTCCTTAGTGAGCCCACGCCGTGCCGGAGGTTCTCTTATTTAGGAGGGCGTTTTTAGTAAAAATCAAAACATAATTTTAAAAGTATTTTTATAATATACAACATGAACATACAAAGAACCTGTTTGCTTGAGCGATTGGGGGGATAAAAGTAGTTTATAGAGATTAAAAGTTAGATTGATTTATATTTAGTCTGTTTGGATTAGCAGTAAAAAAAACAGTTTATTTCGAATCTGACTTTTAGAAAAGTAAGATTAGGTCAAAGTAAAATTAGACAAGATGAATTGTGTTTGGATTGAAGTTTAAAAAAAATTAGTTTGTAAAAGTGAGATTAGTAAAATGTTGTTTAGTTTATGATTGAGTAAAAGTAAATTTGTTTGAGTAAAAGATATGGAACCCACATTTTGTCTTTCTCTCTCCACTTTTCCAACTCTATATGCTGTAATTTTTAACTTCTCACTTAAGTATGTGATTTTGGCATAAGTTCTTAATTTTTTAAGCTCTTTCAAACGTACTCAAATATATTAAAAGCCAAAAGTCCTTGAAAGCCACTCAAACATGGCTTCAAACAAACACATTATCATGTTTGGCATCACTTTTGGCTAGAAGTCATTTTGCCTCAAGAAGCCACCTTAAGTCATAAGCTAATTTTTATGGCTTATGGCTTATCTTGCTTATCCAAAAATAACTTTTCAGAATCAACAGACATTTTTACCTTTATATTTATGTTGTCCTATACTTCTCTCTACATATTCCTTATGCTTCCAATGAATTTTTCCTTATTTATTTTTAATCCTCTTTTAAATTAAAAATATTTTTTAACAAAAATTTTATAATATTTTGATATTATTTTTCATTTTATATCTACATAAATTGTGTAGACTATATCATCCAGTTAATTATGCAATATTATTTAGTTAAAAAAATTTCACATTAATGTAAATATATTTTATTCATCAAATGGAACTTCTTTCTGTTATAATAATTTAAAATTATTATATTTTTTAAATTCATATTTTTAATTATTTTTATCATTTAATAAAAATCATACCTATTTTGGTCATTTTATAAACTAAACTTACTTATCAAATCATAATCCAAACAACTTTTCTACTTTACAAACTAACTTTTATAAAAATGAATCCAAATATAAATCACATTACCTAATATATATGTTACCCAATCTCACTTTTCTTTTCGGCCAAAAAAAAAATCTCACTTTTCTAAACATCATATTGTAAATAAGTTATTTTTTTTACCGTCAATCCAAATGGACCGAGACTGGAGGAGATTGCCTCGTTTTGTAAAAAACAAACTTTTAAAAAATAGTTATTGGTGTTGCCAAACACCCCTTTAGACGAGGTCCATTTTTCGGATGCACGAGTTTTGTTTTAGTTTTCAGATGACAAGGGAGAAAAACTAGACAATTATTCTTGTAAGCTTAATATTTTTATTTAATTAAATTGAAATAATTAAATTTTAAAATATTAATAAGAGGGAAAACCATTTTACAATACCTGGAATTTTTCTCCATTTTTAATTTGATATATATACTTTTCTCTCCTAATTAATCAGAACAAAAATTAATCTAATGTAAAATTAATTTGTTTAATTAAGAAGAAAAAAATTACACAGGTACTAAATTAAAAATTAATAAAAAGTAGGTACTTATAAAATGATTTTTCCTTAATAATATTAGTGAAATGGGCTTAGTAGCTTTCTTTCAGCAAAAATGTCTCTTAAAAATTTAGCATGACCTTATATTAGAGGTGTTCAAATTGTTTCGTCCCGTTGAGTCCCTCTCGATCCTAATCATTTTGGAACGGGACAGGACGGGACAAACAAATTTTTGGGATGCAGAACGGGGTTGTCCCATACCAAGGTATATAATTTTAAAAAAAATTCAAATATGTAATAAAATACAAATTATTAAAAGTATTGTCCATTTTTAAAGGTCCAAATTTTAAATCCATATTGTTTTGAGCCCAAAGTAATCTATTAGACCAAAAAAAGAAACAAGAAGAAATTCTAATCAAATTTAACAAGCCCAATATTTTCTGAATTGAAAGCCTAAAATCAAAAAGAAGGGAAAGTCCTGATTTTGTCTCGGTTCCTTTTGGGACACCGGACAAAAATCTCACCCCATCACTTTTTACCAAGTTGAGATTGAGACGGCTTTATTCCGGTCCCATCCCGTAAATATCCCTACCCTCTATCATTAGACAAATTTTTTGTTTGGTGAATTTGTACTGAAACATGATATTATTACATGTTGTTCGATTATTGTAGAATTTTTTAGTAGGCACATTCTTATTCCTTTGTTAGAATTTTAATAATTCTCCTAAAATTGAAAAAACCTTTTTAAAGTGACGTTGGTAAAGGCGCCGGTGAGAAAGCCAATGTCACGTTTGAAAAGAACATATGACGGGAAACGCAGCAGAAAGAATTTCAAGATAAGTTGTGATTTTTTCAAGAAATTACCATATTAGCTAGTTTGATATTCAGTTTCATATTAAATATAAGATTTCAGTTTATTTTATCTATCATGTTCATCATTTCTTGAAACTAATCATTATAGTAGTTGCGTGTGATCCAAGCTTCATCAAATAATAGTTACAGCCAATACACATGATTAGTAATTGTAGTTTTGGGAAGACGACACATATTTATTACAAATAACTAATTTAAATAATTTTCTTAATATACTACCTCCGGTCTTTAATATAAGACCCTGTTTGACTTTTATTTTGGTCCTAAATATAAGATCCCAATCCACTTTGTCTCTAATATTTATGCATTTTTTTCCAAAATAGTCCTTCTAATAATTGTAGTCCTAGCTAATATAGTTGATTAGTAAGGATATTTTAGGAAAGGCAACACCTGTTTATTACAAATAACTAACTTAACTTCTTTTCTTAATCTTCTCAAATTAGTCAACTGGGTCTTATAATTAGGACTGGAGGTAGTATACAAATTAGTTATCTAGTTCTCGTATTAATAATTAGAGGTACTATTATAAAAGCTGCATACCAAACACATACCGGCATGAATTCCTTTTTTGTTTTATTTTCACTTTCAATTTTTAAATATTATAAAAATATATGCAATTTTTTATGAACTCTAAAATTAGTGTCTCTTCCCGTGCCTGGAAGAGAGGAAAACAATGCCTAGTGAAGGTAATTATTCTAATATAGTTATATTTTAATTTAATTCAATTTCAATTTGGGCCCTGTAGGAAGCTTCGGCCCCCAAATCCGGTTTAAAAGAAATGGCCCAATGTCAAGTTCACGGGAAAACCTTTCCAATGGCTTTTTTTCCCGCATCATTTTAATTTCTCATGTATTTAATTTTATTCCTTTTTTTTTCTTGGTGTTAATTGTTGAAGAACAAAAATATTAACAAAATCATCTCTTATCAACAAATGCGATGGGGAAAAATATAGAGGATGAAATTAATTATTTTACTGTCCCTAGTACCCGGATAATATTTTGCCCTATTCACGTATACAGACTCAGCAGTAGGAATACAAAGTTAAGTTAAAATTTATTCATGTATTGTAGTCATTTCTTGAATATTTAAATTTAAATTTTATCTGTAATTAAAAATATTTAAATTTTGTAAATACGTGCAAGAAAATGTTGAAGAAAAAAATTGTAAAATGAGGCACAGAGCCCATTAAGTATTTTTTTTATTGAATACCAGCTTGCAATAATTTTGTATTGAATTAATTATTTAATTTTCATATGAGGGTTTTTTTTGCTAGGTACAATTATTCTCCTACTAGAGACAATCCAATTCAAAATACTGTCAGGTATCATTGAGCACTTAATATGAGCATTTCTCTTAAAAAGAATTTAAAATTTGATTCATCACGTTGTGAAAGACTAAATACTTTTTATAAACCCAGCCCCATTGGTACATAGGGGCGCTCTCTCTATTTCTTTTTTCAGGCCACCACATGGGCTCCCTATTGAAAAAGGATTCTTTTGTCTTGGCCTGGTTTAAAGAGTTGGGCCAAACTCACTTTTAGGACTGTAGGCTTATGGCGCTTTTAAGCATACCTTCTATATGTATAAAAACTAATACCTTCTAAATTTTATGATTAACATTATTTATTGGAAAGAATTTAAAAGGTATCAAAATCGGACAGTTCTGAACGAAAGGAGAATCTATGTAAATCAATACTTAAATGATAGATAATTTAATTATGATTTTTATCAGTTTGTGTTTTCTTACATTGGAAAAAATTAATATAAAACGCGTAACGTCTGAGAATAACAGGTTAATGAAAAACAAAAAAATGGTTGGAGTGACGAGACTCGCCGACCCAGCCGCTGATGTCCAAGTGCAACCGAGCATGGATATTTTGGTCCAACCAAAATATTTACCAACGAAAGACTTGACTTTTTGAAATATAAAAATCGAATTTGATAACAATTAGGTTCTCAACAAATCTTTTCAAGAAATGGTTTATAAATATTGATTGTTGCAAGTTGCAACCTTAGACTTTCATTAAAACCTTAAATCCATTTTTTGCAATTGAAACTCTAGATTTACAGCCATCTAAATTGATACTCCTCCGGTCCTTAATATAGTATCCAATTCTTGAGTTGGTTTTGGTCCTAAATATAAGACCCATTTCTCATATTTATCAATTTTTTTCTAAATTATCCCTATGGATACTCCCTCACTATAATTAAGTAGAAGAGGGGGATGGAGTATTAAGAAAGATGATTATGGTGTTTTAGGAAAAATGTGTCACTTTTCTTATAATTAACTAACTTACCTAACTTCCTTAATCTAATCAAATTAGTTAAATGGGTCTTATATTAAGGATTGGAAGAGTATTTATAATTCATTCACAATTTTGTTCAAATCCAATTGCCATTAAATTAATACTGATTCTTTTTATAAGTTTTAAATCTTTAAATCGC